ATAAAGGGCAGAATATTGCTTAAAAAAGGCTAAAAATGTTAATTCTGGTTCTTCTGTCCCTCAGGGAGAACCTCAGGGCTGCCCAGCCCGCCCTGCATCCATCCCACACCCACCCTGGAGCTGGAAGAGCTCGAGAACAGCAGCAGAGAGAAATTCAGAGAAAAAAAAAAAAAAATAGCCCATCGTTTATTCTCTTTTATTGACTTTGGTAATATTTGCACGTGTGGAGTTTGGGGCGGAAAACCCAGATCTTGGCGAGGAAGCACGGTGCCCGGGAGAGTTTTTAGAAGCGAGTTTTTTCCCCCAAATTCAGCTGTTAGAAGCAGCAGCGAGCCGGGCGGCGGGTATCAGCAAAGAAACAAAACCCAAACCCTCCCCTTCAGCTACGTGTCATTCAACCAGCTGGTTCTTTTTTTATATTTTTTTTTTAATGTGTTTTTTTTTTTTAGAAAAAAGCTTTATAAAAGAGCGATACCCTGGCCAGGCTCTAGCTGACAACTCAGCCTTCCCCTCAGTCTGTCGTGAGAGGGGCTCGTGTGGACGGGACCCTTCCCAGAACCACGGGAGCAGAACGTGCCCCAGAGCCACGGAAAAGGCACCGAAACTCGCCGGGGATTCCAAACCCACCCCCGGGTCCTGCTCCGGGGCTGGGGGAAAAACGGGGGCAGCTTCCCAAAAATGCTGGACAGTCAATTTAAAAACCAGCTCGCCACGGTGGCGTGTTAAAAAATAGAGTGTTTCTGTGTCATTCAAGGCAGAGATGGAAGGGAGGAGACCCCCAGGCTACAGGGGACATCAAATTTGATATTTTTTTTCCCCAATTATAAACGTACAATCTAGAGGTTAAAAAAAAAGAGTGAGAAATCCTCCCCGGGAGGAGCCGAGAGCTTCCACCTCTCACCATCCAGGTGGACCAGCTCGCTAAACAGGGGGTGCTTTCCTTCAAACAAAGCTGTTTGTTTGGGTTCTTTTCCTCTAAAAAAAACTCTGTTCAAGGGAGAAATTTAAAAAAGAAAAGACAAGGGAGGAGGAAGAAGAAAGCACAGGCCGCTCTCTACGCTCCCTCTCGCTGGGCTCAGCTGTTGTTCACCTCTTCCACCAGGCCGGGTAGTTTACAGGTTAGAAAGAGTGGCTCTCGACTAATGTTTTTACTCCTGATTTTATTCCTGATTTTATTTTTTTTTTTTTCCCCCTCTTTTTGAAGGAGTCTGAAGTGGCTGAGAGAATCCTCCCTCATTGGCAAAGTCAACAGAGCTGGTTGGAGGCAGTGGGACGTCCAGCCCGTCTGTCCTTTGGTTGTAAGAGACAAACAAGTGCTGGATTGTTTTGCTTCTTGGTTGTTTTCCTTTTTTTTTTTAAGTTTTTTTGTCGTTGTTTTTGTTTGTTTGTTTGTTTTTGGGGGGTGGGGTGGGGAGGGAAAGGGGCGAGTGTGTGAATCGGGTGCTACACGGAGGGAGCGGGAGCTGCTCAGTCGCCAGCCTCGTTCTCCTCTGCTGTCTCTCCCGTGGTGGCATTCTCTGCGTTCTTGGAGGCCTGTGGAGACAAACCCACGGCCAGTCAGGACCCCCCAGGGGGGCTGGCAAGTGGCCACCACGCTCAGTCCCACCCCGGGGGCCACTGGTCCCACCCTGGAGGCCACTGGGAGCTGCTGGTCCCGGAACGCCCTGGGACCTGCCAATAGCCAGGGAGAACATGCCACTCATCCCTGACAAAACAGGGCCAAGTTACCTTCTTTTTCTTCTTTTTCTGGGTCTTCCGGCTTGCAGAACTTTGTAGAAGGGCCTGGAGACAGGAAGGAAACAGAAGCAGCTCAAAAGCTGACTCCTGGTTATGACAGCAGATAAAAGGAAACACCTTCAGGGTGGAACGGCCACCACTGGTCACTGAAGGAACGTGGGGAAGGCACAGTGGGCACCACAAGGGGTGGGGAATGCCACAGCCCCACACCCTGCCCCGGAATGAGGCCTCTGAGCCAGCTGCTGGCACTTCCCAGCCACTCCTGGGGAGACCTGGAGCCACTAAAGCCAGCACTCGATGCAGGAGATAAGAGCCTGATGTGGTCTCAGGGATCATTTCCCTTTCGGAGCTCACCCCCCAGCCCCCTGCCCTGCTCTGGATTCTCCCTCCTGCTGAGGGAAACCCACACAGGGTGCCCCACGGGGTGGGGTCTTTAGGATTCTTTTTAAACCCACCTTCAGTTCTCCATCTTGCACCTCAAACTCGGACTTGTAGAGCTCTGGTTCGAAGGGGCCGCTGGTTATCCTCATGGGGCCGTTGGGCATTAAAAGCACCGTGAACTTAAACTGTGCAACAAACTCCCCTGGAAGAGACAGAGAGAAATGGGAATTGCCACCCCTCCGTCCCAGCCACGGGGCAGGAGTTTCCCAGCAGAGGTCACTTGGATTCCTCTGCCATCAGTGCTAAAATTCAGCTTGCAGGGAATTCTTGGAGGTCCCTGGGATGAGGCTCAACAAGGGCAAGGGCTGGGTCCTGCCTTTGAGTCACCACAACCCCCTGCAGGGCTCCAGGCTGGGGCAGAGTGACTGGAAACTGCCCCAGGGAAAGGACCTGAGGGGGTTG